AAATATTTTAAAAAATAATGCAGATAGAGCTACAATACTTGGTACAAAGTTACAGGGCATAAAACTCTATTTTAACACATATTCAGTGATCCAATAACTCTTCAGGGGGACGGCCCACAAGGAGTCGGAAGAAAATCTTAAATAGAAGCATAGGTCAATATGCACATCAAATTAAAGGTCTTTTTTAGTAGAATACAATGCCGCAAACCGCACTTCAAAAGTTTGATCCTGCGCAAAATGACAGTTGTTCAAAGATTCATTTAATTTACATTGCTATTATACGCTTACTCCTCAGGGGGCACAGCCTTAGGAATCGGAAGAACATTTTTAACGTAAGCATAGGTCGATATGCACATCAAATTAAAGGTCTTCACTAGTAGATTACGATGCCGTAAATTAAAGCTCAAAAGAATGCCTGAGTAAAAAATGACAGTCGTTCAAAGATTCAAAATGGCGGATTCAAGAAATCTTTGAACATCTGCCATTTTGCGCAGGATCAACTTTTTGAAGTGCGGTTTGCGGCATTGTATTCTACTAAAAAAGACCTTTAATTTGATGTGCATATTGACCTATGCTTCTATTTAAGATTTTCTTCCGACTCCTTGTGGGCCGTCCCCCTGAAGAGTTATTGGATCACTGAATATGTGTTAAAATAGAGTTTTATGCCCTGTAACTTTGTACCAAGTATTGTAGCTCTATCTGCATTATTTTTTAAAATATTTAACTGTCCAGGGACTTTTTTACCACCCTGTATATCACAAATTGTTCAAACCTCGATAAAAAAAACCGCATGTACAAAATATCCCTGCAGTGAAAAGTTTTTAAAATTAAATTACATTTCTTTGAAACTATAATACTGCCATGTAAAATATTTCCGTTTCCAGTATTTATATTTCGTACATTTTATTCGTCAATCGGGATGTAGTGTATCATGGAGTGGGGAACCGTCCAAATCCTGGCATTATTTCTATCTAATTACAGTATACAAAATGCAATAACCGATATGGACACACATTATGGACATATCACATTTTAATGCGTAATATTAAAAGAAGAATTACAGAAGAAAAATTTAAACTTCCACTGGAAATTCCAATAGCGTGATGAATAAATCAGCATGATTGAAATGATGCTCGCTAAAAGACTTGACCTGCCAATCGTGTTGTCCTACTGCTGTAGCAGGCTTTTGTTCACTCTATATCATCACTATACTAATTGCATTACCTACTACAGTATATCATTACAGTATATCCTTATCAGGTATGAGTCGGACGAAACTATAATAAGTTTACGATAAGTTTGTGTTATCGTTCGTCATACAATTACGACTGAACTTCGAATCATTTTCTCTTAAAAGCTTTTATAATGGTGGAAACTTGGGTGTGGCAGTAAGGACTATCTGAGAAAAATCAATAGCTTTTTGATGGTTTTTAGCTTGACCCACTTTTTGATCTCAATGATTTTTTATTGTCCTGACTAAAGAAACCATTCAAAGTTCACTGTTACATATATACAAGGTGGGAAAAAGTCCCGGGACAGTTAAATATTTAAAAACATAAATAATAAAGTTAAAGCTATTTGTTAAATCTTATATCTGTTATAGCTGTTATAACTATTTTGTTATGGCTAACTATAAATATAAAGTTAATAATAAAGTTAAAACCTTTAATTTGATTTGCATATCAATATTTAGTCATCTGACTCCTATCGGGCCATCCCGCTGAGGAAATAACACTGAATAATGTGTTAAAACTAGTTTTATTCCCAGTAACTTTGTGTTTTGTAGCTCTATCTGTGTAATTTCTTTAAATATCCAACCGTCCCGGAACTTATTTCCACCAAAAGGTACAATCGCATGGCAAAGATACAGCTATCGGTATCTAATTTATATTTGTAAACTTACAGATATATTTGTTACAGATATTTAGATGCATTAAGTACACTTCACCAACTAATATTTTTTTATTCTTATGATTGTATTCTTATATTTTTACTTTTCAATTTGTATATATTCCGATTAGTGTAGTGTAATGAACAATGCTGCCAGATTATAAACAAAAAAAAAAAATCACTACGATAAGACAGGGGTTCATTAATCGAGTGATCGGGACTATTTCCTTCCATACAATCAGATGACGAATTGAAAACATGTACATCTGACGTGCGCTACTAAAGCCGATTCTTTTTTGTCCTACAGATCAAAATAGCTTCGTTACTTATGCATGTATTATTGGTAACAGCTGATTTCGATGCAGCATAAGAAAAACAATGAAGTTGCATTCACATTGAAACGCGAGCACGCAGATAATTAGTTGTTTGCACAGTGATCATGTAGTGACTAGTGACTAGTGACAACATACGGTAGTGACAATTACATGTAATTAGGAAGCCACCAATCCAACCTGGCTTGTGGCATGTGCTATGTCGTCCGACTCTTGGTATTTCAAATGATTACTCTTCCGCACATGATCATAATATTTTGATCAAATTTGGGAAATGTATTTATTTTATAATAAACTATTAACATTTCAGTAAAAAAAACATACTTCATTACCTTCCCTGTGGCAGCAATCCTAAGGACTAGTGAAATGAATGTTATTTAAATAGGGAATAAATATGATGATTTGAGTGAAAATCTAATCAGGCGAATGAAAATTCGCTTAAGTCTGCAGATTTGCTGTGGTGGGGGTGTTTAGTTGTAAATTGTACATGGTACATTTCACATAATGTTTAACCCTACAAAATTGTATAACCAATTTGGAAGTTTTTGGAATTATAAACAGTAATTTAATTGCTAATGGTTCCTAAAAAGAATACAAAAATGAACAACAAAAACGCACGATCCACCATTTAAGTTTGATATTTGTAGCATTTAACGATAGCAATAAAACATAATAATTTAGCCAAATCGCTCCGAAATTTTACTACTATTAATATACAGTTGAACCTCGTTTGTACGAACCTCGTTAAAACGAATTCCTCGATAAGACGAATTTTTTTTAATCCCCTTGACACTTTCATATAGGTCAATGCTAAAAACACCTCTATACAACGTAGTAATTAAGTTAAAAACCTCCATAAGACGAATTTGTTTGTGACATGGGCTAGGACTGATTAACCTCTATACAACGAATATTCTTAGCACAAAACCTCTACAAGACGAACGTGACCTCTATAAGACGAATTTATCATAATCTTAACCTCCATAGTACGTAGTTTTCAAAACAAACAGAAGCTTGTCTCAACATGAAACCCCCACCCATCCCTCCTCCTTCTTCAATCATTGTTTGGAAAAACCTTGGAGCAAGGAGAAACCTCTATAAGAAGAATAACAGCAGCATTAAACCTCGATAAAACGACCCTCTTTATTAAGAATACCTCTATTGTACGAATATTTCCCGTACCCCTTGAAATTCGTCTTATAGAGGTTCAACTGTATAGCCTTAAGTTTAAAACAATTCAAATCGAAATTTAATTAATCCGAATGTCTTTAAACCCATTTTTTTCGGGTGTAGCATATGTAATCTTTGATGATACTTTACCCAAATTCCAAGTTTACTAATTTTGAATAACTAGTTCTCTCAAAAGTTTTCTTTAAAAGTCAATTATAATCCTACACTACTGTGTTTTTATTCTTAAAAAATATATTGGAAACATTTGAGGTTGTTTGGTTTTGTAACGCTTGATAAGAGCCGAACTATCAGCTGGGTTCGGTTCGGTTGCGGTCATAGTATTATCGTCAGGATATGATAACACGGCTAAGTTTGTCTTATCGTTCGTCATACAATTACGACCAAACGTCGAATCATTTTCTCTTATAAAGCTTTTGTAATACTTCAAATTTGTTAAAGTGTGTGTCATGATTTGACACATGTCAATTCAATTTCTATTATGGTTTACTGTCATTGTTGAAACGTTTGTGAATTATTATATTTTTGAGTGCGATTAAATGATTATCTATAATTTCTGTAAAATACTGTAGGATAGCATCTGTTAGCTAAGTATAATAGGCTTCATGATGAGAATTATATTTCATGATTCTCGTTTCTTAATAAATGGTTCCCTGGAGCTGCATAAAATAACAAAGAAGTAAATTGCACAACGAACATATATAAAGATTCAGGTCAAAATATAGTTAAATATTTCACTGTATACAGAAAATGGCATGTCATGCATTAAAAAAAAATTAGAAGGTTACTTCTATTAGTTTATGTACCTATTATGCATATTTTAAAGTATAATAATGTATTGTTTCACGGTACTGTATGACAAATAAAGATTACGTGTAAACGGAGGAAACATGAATCACTGATAAATTGTGAGTGTATACGATAGGCCTAATGTTCCGTGTTTCCAGTTTGAAGTGGATTGTGTAATGCGCCTTTTTGTAATCTTTTTAACTAAACTTCATTTCGCGATTGATGTAACTGAAAACTGAAATAGTTTCGTAATAAACGTTTTAGTAGTGCTCCCGAACATCTCTCCCTCCTTTGACACTTTTCTGTCAGAACTTCTATTTTGGCCCCAATTTATACTAATTCAACTACGTTTAAAATGTGTTCATACAATTTTGCGAAACTGCATTCAGGACTGCATAATGGAACCCCTAAGATGGCGCGGGTCAAGGCCATGGGGTGGTGCTGGGGCGAAATAAAGGGCAAACCGGAGTGAAATTCGAATTGCGAAACGGCGGCGCCTCATGGGCGCTCCGGCCCAAAATCGATAACAGATGACACCCTGTACGTTATGTAATTTGGGTCACCTAATGCGAATACACAGGGAATCGAGTGTATCGATCGGGGGTTCTCATCCCTTTAGATGAATCAGTAACAAAGAAAATATCTACTCTACACAAATGTTGTGGATTCTCTGAAATTTGTTTACGGGATGTTTTCGGATATTAAATATCTACAACGAACTATGATTAATAATTAAAATTGGATTTAACAATGTTACATTAAATTTTTTTACGATAAAAAGAAAAGGTAAAGTGGACTCACCCCAACTTCCTGCGGTTCTCCCTAGGAACTGCCCTGTCTCGGAGTTCCACAGGAAAATCTTGAAGCCTTCCCATTTGCCCAGTTTCGGCGGCGGAGTGTAGTATTGCTCCTTCAGTTGTCCCGTCTTATCAGCCATGGTAGGGTCGAACCTGAAACGGACGGCTGCAGAAAAGAGGGTAGCAACTTCCCGGAGCAGAACCTACAGAAGATCGATCTGAACAGTAGCGCGCCGCGCGGTGTGTCCGCGAAACTAGTGATCAATATAGGCAGACTCGCTTCCACCGCCCGTCCACCGACCACCCACCACCTCCTCCACAACGTTCGTGGGGATGACATTGTGAAAAATTGTAAAACTTGTATTAATTCAATTATAGATTATCATGTAAACATTTGATCCATGGGAGAAGTTAAGGTAAAATTGTAAATTGATTGATTTGAGTACATCCCAAAGGGGTTTAATCGATGCGGGTTTTGTTTTTACTCCCTCGACCTATTGATTGCAGTGAGTTTAAAAAAAAGCAACATTGCTTCGTAATGGTGACAGTAATTATGTTTTATAAGCAGATAAAAGGTTCAGACAAAATATGAATATTAGATTCGAGTATACATTCTTCGTAAGTGAAAGATTGGAAAAAACAGTAGATGAGGGTACCGCATCAAAAGTTACAGTTCTTTTTTTAACTTAATACATGATCAATCCTGAGGATAACCTGGAATATGGTTTGATTCTGAACTCGTTTTGATATTGGAATTTAAGTGATAATTTTGTGCCCGAAATAGCAGCTCATAAACTCTACCATGAAACACAATATAAAATATTATGCCATTTTGTTGACGTATAAGGAAATGCATATTTTATATCAAAACAAATCCTAACAAGCGATATAAAAATTCACTCAAAAAACTCCTTTTAGGATGCTTACTATATACATAATTGCCTTGTGAAGGAAGTGTCTTTGTGTTTGGTCATTGAGCAGACTAAAGTTCCAAAACATAGCAAATTATCGTTCTAACATCTGGGAAAAAATATAGGCCTATCGGTTGGGGGTATATTTGTTTATATTATAAATATGCCGTTGCTTTAAAAATACGTGAAAATGGACTGAGATTTACAGATCTGAATGGGCGTATCCGTATGTATAAAATAAATTCTTATAAAATACGTTGGAACTTATTTTTTAGCAAACATTTAATTTCAACCATAGAGGTTTCGTCAAAATTAAATAATATTCACACACAAATACATAAAACAGTAGGCCTATAGAATTCATGCATTGATGTGTAACTAAAATAAAATGTATAGAGACGATTGCGCAGAAACTACTGGATAAATTCCTAGCCTATTAGAATTCAAACTCACCTTTATTATGGACAATATTTGAAATTAATGAACACCATTAATTTGAAATGCCATATAATGCATGATACCATAACATTATTTGTTGAAATGATGTAAGTGGGCAACTATAGTTATAATGTTTAATTAATAATAATTACTTGTGTTATACTATTATTTTGGATTACAAACCAATACAGACTAGCAGAATGGTATAATAGATCGTTTTTACGAAATACTACTGAAAAATGAGTGATTTCTATATTTTCTAGGTTTAGTGGGTAAAAAATCTGTAAAATGACACCTCATTTAAGAAATTTTTTTAAAAAATGAGGAAGTTATGGTGTATCGACAAAACAGTAATACAAGTACTAGACTATGTTTGAATGCGTCGTTAGAATATTTGATTGCTTGTTTTCTGTAAACAGCTCATGTAACTTATACAAAAAAAACAAAATCACATTAGCACAGAGCTAGCGTTGTATTGAATTTGTTTCATGCGATTTCTTGATGACCTTGTTTATCTTAGTTGATTTATGAGTCTCAGCGATGCTATGCTACAAGACATAAATTAAATATCGTTACCTGCTCACATTAAATTTCTTGAAATAAAACAATTTAAATTTACTATTGGAAAGATTTTGCGTAATTTATGTGTATGGTCAAAGAATTTGTAGAAGATATCAAGTAGGTTAATGAAAATATTGTGATGAAAACTGTTTGACGTTGCTATACGTGTATTTAATGTTGATGGCAATAAATGGATTTGATTTTATATGTTATAGACATAGTTAAATATTCTTGTGACTTAGGTCGTAATCTTTCAACTTCAAAACAGCTGGTAGTTGAATCAATAGCAAGCAAAAAAGGTGGTTAGGTATTGTAAGCTTTATGTATGTTTTTTGACGTCACCAATGCATGCAAATGTGTATCTATTTGTGGTTTATTAAATTACTTATGACTTATATAGGTCCTCTAGGATCGGAAACTGTAGTCATTTTGAGATTTACCAATACGAAACTAACCCATATAGGCTAATAGGTGGTTATACGTGAAGTATATCGTAGAGAGGTACTAGGTGTATGGTGTATGGAGGAGGTACCACCAGCACCACTAGCGCCGTGTAGCCAAACGACCGGTGTACACGTTATAGCTTTGTATCCAATAGTCAATGGTTATAGCTAGAATCTCCGCACCCCGCCATATGAACTAAAGTTTTAGCATAATCTGGGTAAACTGCTGCGTCTGAGTCTGATAATGTAGATAAGCGAGTAGACTAAATCCTCTTATTCGTAGGAAAGCTCTGTCTTCTAAAGTAGTTTGAAGTGGAATGGTGCCTTCTATAAGAGTTCAGTTGTGTTGTATGTGTCATATAAAAATTATTTGTCTGCTTAGAAGTTTGTAAAATAATTATTTGTTTAAGTACTACCATAGACAAAAAAAATAAATGTCTATAAACAGTTGTCTACTTTACGTGTTAATTAATAAGATTTTTAGATCCTACCATTAATGGTTGTCCGTTTTGAAAGATTGTAAATTGTATATCTAGGTCAGTTACATCTATGGTTATAACTGTTGTAAAAGGGTTGTCTAGTTTGGTAGTTCGTAAAATAACAGTTGTCTAGTTTGGTACAAAAGTAGTCTGTAACAGCAGTTGTCTGGCTCGGAAGTTTATTATAACAGTTGACTAGTTCGATAGTTTGTAAAAACAAAAACAGTTGTCTAGTTTGGTACAAAAGTAGTCTGTAACGGCAGTTCTGGCTCGGAAGTTTATTACGTATAACAGTTGACTAGTTCGATAGTTTGTAAAAACAAAAACAGTTGTCTAGTTTGGTACAAAAGTAGTCTGTAACAGCAGTTGTCTGGCTCGGAAGTTTATTACGTATAACAGTTGACTAGTTCGATAGTTTGTAAAAACAAAAACAGTTGTCTAGTTTGGTACAAAAGTAGTCTGTAACAGCAGTTGTCTAGCTCGGAAGTTTATTATAACAGTTGACTAGTTCGATAGTTTGTAAAAACAAAAACAGTTGTCTAGTTTGACAGTTTAAAAGAAATGCACTGTGGATGCGATGCTCCCTGTTGTCGATTAACGTCCGCACTAGTGAGTACTACGACTATCCCCAGTACTATCCTAATAATTAGACCAAATCGTTAATTACGAGGGAAAATGTGGTTCGGATTCCACAATAAACTGTAGGTCCCTTAGTTGCCATTAGCTGTATGGGCTAATTAACGGCTGTGTCTAAGGAACATGTCGGCCTTAGTCACTAACAAGACTACAAGATCGCGCCACTCATCCTACACTCATCCTTCACTCATATCTGGGTTAAAATACGCACATAGTGGTGTCCCATTGACTTATAAATATATGGATATGCACTTCCTATTGTATAAAGTAAAAGACTACAACATAATGTTGATTTGATTCAATTTTAAAACATGAAACAAATTAAATTAAAGTAGGTAGGTTAGTTTGAGATAAAATTATTATCCTAGGACTATAAAAAATATCACAGAATTAAGAAGCCGACTAGATTCTTTACTGTTTAATTAAAGCACCTTCAAAGTGCATAATATTACATCTTAGACTATTGATAAAACTATTGATAGACTTCGGTATCCAAGAGCCAATGGTCATGTCCCTACGAACTGAGTTAGTTATTCGTTCCAACTATTCGAATGGGTAGGCTTATTAAATTTATCAGTGATTAGGTTTTATTAATAATATTCAACTAACAACAACAACAACAACAAACTAACTACATCCGGGTTTAAAGAGCGAGACCAGCGCCTCTAAGGTCCTTATATTTATTTTACGATTTTATCTATATTTCTATGTCTGCCGACGCGCCTGAAATGTCTACAGAGTTTGCTTCATTATTGTCATGTGGTTGCATCAATGCAATGAAGGCGCTAAACAATATATCCTTTGGTATATCGTGAAAACTAATAAATAAATAGTTATGCAAATAAATAGTTAGCTGTGCTATACATGCACGGCATTTTATGTAAATTATTGCAAACATTTTTGAAGTAGGTAGGAAACTATACTGTATTTTATGTAGCCTAATAAAATATTATTTTTAATTAAATTATTTAGTTTTCTATCAACATTCGGTGTTAAAGCCACAAAGCCAAGTTCGACAGAAATAAATAAACAAAGAATTGTGAACTTGGACACAGTGTTATACAAATAACATTTACTTATTTGGGTAGATAGCTCACATCAGGGTTAGTTTTAAATTCCTTTCAAATAAATCGTACCTTAACATGAAGTAAAAATTCATATTATTTGTTGTTGTTGTTTGAGAGCGTTGATTGAAAATATTACACAAACTCTATACAGTCAATATTATGGTTATCTTAGCTGTGTTATTCTCTGACATTAGAACAGCATATACACAAAATGTAGTATTTTCCAATGGGGTTGGTTTAAAATAGTTTTTATAATATTTGTTTTAATTAATTAAAGCAACATACAAACACTTACTTCAATTACATTTTCGTAAACTAACTAAAGTATAACCAATAAACATATGGTTTTCAAATCAAAAAACTAAAAATATATAGTTGATTGTCCCTTCATCACATACAACCAGAGAAAATTACCCAAAACTATAGCTTTTCTGAAACACGCGAATAGGTTAATTTAAAATATTGGTTTCTCTACCTTTGACCTTTTTAAGATTTTTTGTAAGGGCACGGTCCAAGCTCCCTGTTGTACATAACGTCGATCATTTAAAAAATACTGTATCGCTTAGCAGAGTACAAATAAATTGCATTTGATAGAATTGATTGTTATACTTGTTATTGGTGATATTAGGTGATGACCATAATAAAAGTAGAAAATATTGTTCTGCTAACAACATGACAATAATCATATACTAAATTTTACTTCTCCTCCTTGTTCAATGTTTATATACAAATCGCGCTTAGATCAAAGTCAAATGTAAACAATAATTAGGATGAGTTAGAGCCCTTTCTGATATTTAATTATTTCGAAATCTTACACTGATCTCAACTTAGCCACACCTTTATTAACATAAATTCAACATACAGAAGGTTCACTAAAACCCATACAGTGAGCCGGTAAACAGGCGTACCACTATTAAACACAAATAAACGTACCCTTTCAAGAGCGGGTCTTTATCCATGGTCCCGTAGTTCTTCAGTTTGGAGAACATCGTTCCTTTGAAATAGACCACCACAGCTCATTCACGTAACTGGAATCTAAAGGAAAATTATAAACTTGAGCATCTGCGAGTGCGAACTGTAGAAACTGGTTGTCCTGGAGCGGGACGAACGCCAAGAACCGACTTATATAACTCGGGATTCAAATCCTACTCAAATGAGGTTCAAACGAAGACTGAAGTTGAAACAAATGAACCGGTATTTGGTCTAAGGAACCAGTTGTTTGGAAAAAAACCGAAAGTTGTCTAACTTTAGCTCCTTAAGTAAGGTTATAATAGTTCCAGGCTATTTATAACGTGGGGTAAGGCACGTTTGTGGGAAATAGTTGTTGGTTTGTTAACAAAATAACTTATCGTGTACACAAAGTATTCAGATTGTTGTCGAGTGTCTCGAGGAACATTTATGGTTGTATTTGATTAAACAATTGTTTGCATTTTTTAACATTAGTTTTATGACCGATCATTTTTGTATCCCCGTCTTTAAAAATTTGAGGTTGTTTCTGTATGTGTGTTTTTGTTCTGGCTAAACGCAAAAACTACTTAACCGACCTGACTGGGGCTTTATGCAAATGTAATATCATGAACCTGTTTATACTGAAAGCTTATTAATCTCCTTAAAATACCATCGGTCCACGTCCGTAGATGCCGAAAGTTTCGAGTTTGAGCAAAAATGTTTGAGTAAAAATTTGTTTGTCTCCAAAGCGAAACACCACAATCTTCACATTTGCAATGACAGTAATTACGTAGTTTGAATTACGATAAAGTTATTCATTCTACTCCACAACTGATTGAAGCACATAAAATACAACCATGTTAAATTTGCACAGTTCATTTGAGTTTTTGTGGGTGTTTAACCTTTTCTAAAATAAAAGTATATAATTTAAAACACACACGTTAACTTCTACATACCTCGTCTAGAAGCACGGGTACAGCAACTTCTATTGTATATAATTTATAATTAACGAATAATCCATGGATATACAAACATCCTTAGAGCTGTCACGGAAACAGAAGCACAGCTCACGATGGTCACCACGAATCATGCAAGACAACGTACAACCAAGTAGAACCAATGATTGGAAGTTTGTTGGAACTTAAGCCTTTAAAATGTCAACAAAAGATGAAGTCACTATGTATACATCCTTAGCGGATAGCTCATTGCTCGAAAAGATAAAATATTACACTTTGTCCCCGAAATTATCACAAGATATAATCCTGTGTGTATGTGACTTAGGCTTTGCAACTTCAGGATCGGCGTTTCTCCAAATAATTTTATTTATTTCCACTTTTTAAGATTTTAATAAATTGACACAATGTCACTTGGCCAAAGATATTTTTTATCATCATGGTTAGTAAATGGTACCCTAAGCTTAATATGACCTGGACTAAAAAACATTTAACTTTAAAAATAAGTTCCAAATGATTGTGTGCTTATTGTGCTCTTCATATCAGAGCTTGCAGTGGTTGGAGCAACAATAATTGTTAACTATTATTTATAAGTTAAAACCTCATGTAAAAACACTAATTTACGGATTTTCAAAAAAATTGTGTAAATACCTAAAGAAACAATTACGAAGTTTCAGTTCAGCCAGTGCATATTTTGTATCTCTGTGAATATTTTACAGTTTATTTAAACTCGATAAACACTCTAATACTGCCAGGTTTTTTTTGTAGGACCATTTTATGTGGTAAACAACCGGCGGCTGAAACCCTCTTAACAAAAAATGGATCAGCTGGTATCGATGGAATTTACATGTGTTTGTTTATTTACATGGGTTTTTATGCATAGAGATGAACAGATGAATGGATTATAACTGGAGTCACTACTCTCTGGTTAGACAATGAATAGCGTGCCTTCGAGATGGCCGCTTGTTGCTGTGTTTTGTTGGTCACTCATCTCGGTTTGTTTGGTTAGACTTTTCATTTATTTGTCAAATTAAAGTCAAGATGGCGTCATCCTGTTGTTGTTAGTCAACAAATATGTCAACATTGTTATATCAATACATAAACTTGACAAAATAATTAAAATTAAAAACAATTGATGATATTTCAAAATTACTTTTAACACTCAGGTTTTAATGTGCAATAATTAGTTAAAGTGATACAAGTCCATCAAAATCAAATAACCCCAAATAACATGGTTGGGATGATTGGAATTAATTTAACAGCTATCCAACCCATGGTGGAAGGAATTAAAAAAACATAAGTGTGCTAAATCCCATCCATCATATGCTAACGTAATTCAGATAGAAAAAAAATCACCTGATTGTATTGGCATATAAGTTATATAAGTTATATAACGTGTTTCATAGCCTAAGAAAGCCGAAACGAGTCTTATCTCAATTTCTGTCTGTATGTCTTTCTGTCCATTCTGTGACTCCGTCTGTAACGCCAAAATGTCATTTTACGCGGCCTACTCCTAGAAAACTAGAGTACCAATCAAGGTTTTAATAATTTTTCTGTATTTACTGGATTGGTGAGAGTGTCTTTGGCTATAAAAACAAGGCCTCGCTTCTTCGAAAACAAAATAACGAACCACCAAAAACCCAATTTTGTTCGATTTTTGTCAAATTTTCTCCCATTGTTTACTATTACATTACATTTTATGAAATAACGATCAGCTGTTTGGATTAGTTCTCACTTCTAGCTGTCACCGATATGTTTACATTAAAAGTTGTTTACAAATACCGCAACCATTTCCGATCAAGTTTTGTCAGCACATCCAAACCAAGTGAGATTAAAAACGTTACGTGCCTTACTTAACCGGTTTAATTAATCGCAAGTGCAACGATTGTTCTTGAGTTTTGAAAACCGGGGAAAATACCGTGAATCAGTGTTGTATTAGTGCAAGGAAACTTATCATCGTCACCAATACCGTAGCTTACAAAGGTTTCCACTCATTGACGGCGCTTCAAGGACAGTTGTGTAAAGTGCAAAGTAAAAAATCACGACTGATTTTAAAATCACGGGTGTTCGTGGATGTTGCTGCGATCTTGGAAGATCTTTCTGATTTCCCTGTGATCGTACCGTAACAGAGTTTTAACTTAACAGATGTAGCTAAACTCGCTTTTCCAATGTGTCACTTTTGGTTTCTACTTACTTACATTTCGACAACGATATCGGTACTTTTCCTAAGTTACTTAGGAAATAAAACTACAAACGTACAAAACCCCAGATTTGTGCGTTTTTTGTCACATTTCCTCCGAATGTTTGTTAGATATATGTACCGATTATCGTTTAGAGTTTACGTAATCTTAAGAAACCTTTGTTTGGATAAAGGTGAAACTGTCATTAATATGTTAACATTAAAAGCTGCTTACAAATAATGCTATTAATAGGAAATAACTTTGATTTTCGAAAACTAAAAAAAAAAATTCAAACCAAAGGACATTAATAACTTCGGTACCGGTACTGCACCACATCAAGTGAAAGTTTTTTTTTTTAGCAAACCATAGTGGGTTTTCAAAGCTTTACGTTGTTTACGTTACATGTTACATGTTTTGTGGCCTGTGTGTATTTATTTATTTATATACTTGCCAACTGATTAACACCTATAATACAGTTTGATTAGAAGGATAGTTTGAATTAGTCGTAAGTACTACAGTTCTTTTCTAAAATGTAAACGTTGGTTTTTGGTACCGGTACTGCTACTTTTCCTTAGAACCGGTGGTAGCAGTACCAGTAAGAATAATTTATACATACAAACACAACACTATTTTCACTATTTATTTATAAACACTGCACCTTATTGCTTATTAAATTTAATTGATGTTTTACTGTATAATTTTTAGCGTTTTCTGTCTGGACTCCAAAATGTTGTGTGGACTCAATTCTGTATTTGTGTGTGTATGTCTATTGGTAATGCATTAATGTCCTTATTTTTCGTGGAAAAGACAAGAGCACCATTGTTAATAAAAATTTCAACCCGAATAAAGTGTGCAGTAGTGAGGTTGAGGTAGTGTTTTAACTACTTTTAACCAGTGTGAAAAGTAACTTTCAATTACAGGCCTACCTTAGGGCTATGCCTCATAGATTTATACTGTAAGGCAATTCCTTTCATCGTTAGATATAAAATATGGACTAACACGATCGGGTGACATTTAATTGCGAAGCATTCGTTTTGGCTTTGAAACTGTCAGATATTGTATTTGAGAAGGTTTATATGTATTCCTAAACAGTTATAGTTTTGCCATCATATCTGGAAAAATGCACACTAAATATGCAAACCAACTCCTGTTCTGAATATAAGGTTTTAACTTACTACAAGATTCCCGTACGTAGAACGGGCAAACAGCTAGTAAGGTAATAAATTGAAAGAATAACAAACACATAAGTACAACTGAGGTATTTTTAACATTAAGTATATGGAATGTTTCCTTTAGAAAGTTATTACGACCTTAAAGGGTAATTTATGAAACGTCATTTATGAACTCGTCATAACGAACATTTTAAGTATATGGTTTATGGGGGTGTGACTTTTAGTCTTCTCAAAAGTTCATGGGTACTTTGGGATTTATATATGGACAAGCTGCTATACCCGTGCGTTGCAACGGGAAGAACATTGTGACCTAGAGAGCTATTAAAGTGGTCCTGATGTGTTTTTTAAAATACATACATACATCAACTCTATGATTTAGTTTGAAAATATAAGCTGATTTAAAAACGTAAACCTACTTACTTTGAAACCCCTACTTTTGATGTTAGAGATCCCTAAGAATATGACAACATACCTTAGTGTAGCAATAGCATCAATTATTGCTTCATATTGATGCTTTATGAATGACATGTTTTACCATTTTCTTCAATTTTATTCTAGCTTCTTAAAATGTAGATTACTATATAAATTAAAAAATGAAACTTTGAGCAATACTTTACAAAACATATACAACCTCACTTTAAAACCAAACATAACCCTCCTCAATCTACATAAAGCGTCACAAACATCTTATTCGAGTAAATAAACAAACACCAGTTCATTGTATTGACCAGCTGTTTCATTAACTAAATTAAATTAAATCATGTAAACATTAGAAGCATGCCAGGTAGCCCAGTC